TTCCCACACCATTCTAACTGAAAATTTTCATCTTACTTTGCGTAAGGAGCAAAGTGATTGAGCTTTGGAGGGTATTCCTAAATACGGACCTATCTAGCATTTGGCTACTCAACTTGGCATAACTTACGTTCATCTGGTATGGCTCGAGCTTTTGGAGTTTCACAATGCACTTCCACTCTAGCATTCAAGGGTGATCTTCGCTGCCTCTTGGCACTCATAACGGATGTTCGGTAAACACTTGGGAACAGGTGTACGCGCCATACAAAACTATCGTACCAGTGGCGCTTTGTCCCTACTATAATAAGGCGGACATGCTCTAGCTACTAATGCTTCTTTCTGCCTAGCCAATGCACAAAGATCATACACATCAAGGTCAAATATAGGGTGAACGTCAGATAAATTACCAGATTAACCAGCTGCCGAAGTCCCGCCCGATCGAATCTGGGGAAAACATGGGGTACGCACCACTCACAGGCGCATACTGCAAGCCAAGACACCTACAGCCTAGTTCGTGGAAGAGGATGTTTTTCCGACGTACGTTATAGTGTGGAAGCTAATAACTTACCAGGTCGGGAGGTATCTATATAGAGGACTCGGGGGAGATTTTGGTGTTACGAAACCTTATAGTGACAACAGACACCAAATTATGATCATGCTACCAAGCAAGAACTTGAAAAAGACTCCCTACGACAGAGAGGGTGTTTTAGGTGTTCCTAACGGAACTTAACTGATCCTCTTTCCAATCTGAGCTCCGCACCACGATAAATTCTACCTTATAGTGATTCTTCACTGGCTTAAGTTGCAAGTTTCAGATGCGTGGAATAAAACGTAACATCTGTCAAGAAAGCTTAACTGATCTCCTGCATACTGGCAGCCCTCTCTGAACAAACCTTATTTTGTTCCGAGAATTTTCCCATAACGACTTGGCTAACTGCCTGTGTTCTTCCTTGCATGGTCGGGACAATGTCCCCATTGCAGCCGGCAAAACTTCACACTACCCGTCCAAGGGATCCGATTATCGTTGTTCCTGAGTAAGTAGATACCGTGAAGTGTTTCTTAGGCTCGGGGTTCTTTGCCCCATACGTATCCACCGACTTATTCCCCACATTGTTATTGTTAACCGCACCCAAGGGCCGATTTGCCTGAACATTTGAACTTTGATAATGTCACAGATTGTAAGTATGTGCCGATGGCCTATAAGCTGCAACTGACGGATAACAGCTGAGATGGAACCGATATCCGCTAGTCCTCAAACAGTTCTATAAGGGAAACCAGCTCATATAGCACTACAGTATGTAAACTTGGAGAATTATCAGGCTGTTACCGTCGGCGCCGTCGAGCCGTCTACGTCGAATGATATGCAGGATGCTTCATTGAGCTCCGAAGGAACAATGTCAAGTCTATGCCGCCTGATACAGCGAGCCACAGTTGATCTGAAAGAGGAGCGTATACTGTTTTTCTCTCCATGCCAATTCGGAGCGTTGGCTCCGAACTTCCGTTGCATATGCAGGAACCAAAACCACCCACGACCGAGCAACCCGTTGCACATTCCTCCTCCGTTGATCGACCGGATCCTGCGTCTTGGCCGAACCCTTCACGCCGTCGACTCCGGTCCTTCACTTGAAGCTGGACTATAAGTATCCCTCGATCCCCACCTCTTACTCTCCATCGGTCCATCACCGCATCCAATCTCATACACATCCTTCGGTACCTCGCAACGGTTTTCCCAACGGTCAATCTCGCAATCTTCACAATGCAGTTCAAGTTCGCTTCTCTTCTCGCCTTCACCCTCGGTGCTATCCAGGTAGCCACCCAGCAGGTCGGCCAATACGACACTGAGACCCATCCTTCCCTCCCAATCCAGACTTGCACCAAGTCCGGCTGCACAACTGTCCAGACCAAGATTGTGCTCGACTCCAACTGGCGCTGGACTCACAAGGTCGGAGACTACAAGAACTGCTACGACGGCAACAAGTGGGATACCGCCACCTGCAGCTCCCCAGAGGCTTGCGCAAAGAACTGTGCCGTTGAGGGTGTCAACTACTCTGGTACCTACGGTATTACGGCCAGTGGCAACAGCTTGTCCTTGAAGTTCGTTACCAAGCATCAGTATGGTACCAACGTCGGATCTCGTGTCTACCTCATGGCCAATGACGACAAGTACTACATGTTCAAGCTCTTGAACAAGGAGTTCACCTTCGACGTTGATGTTTCCAAGCTTCCTTGCGGTCTCAACGGTGCTCTTTACTTCATTCAGATGGATGAGGACGGAGGAAAGGCCCGTTTCCCCAACAACAAGGCTGGTGCCAAGTATGGTACCGGTTACTGTGATGCCCAGTGCCCACACGACATGAAGTGGATCAACGGAGAGGTAAGCACACTTCATTCAGCGCACATATCTTGACCTTGCTAACATTTCTGCCTAGGCCAACCTCCTCGACTGGAAGCCATCCGATCTCGATGCCAACTCTGGTGTCGGTCGCTACGGAACTTGCTGCGATGAGATGGATATCTGGGAAGCCAACAGCATGGCCACCGCCTACACCCCTCATTCTTGCTCCACCACCAAGCAGGAGCGCTGCTCGGGCACCCAGTGTGGTGACAACGGTCCAGACAGATACCTCGGTGTTTGCGACAAGGACGGATGCGATTTCAACTCTTACCGTATGGGAGACACCGGCTTCTACGGAAAGGGCAAGAAGGTCAACACCAACCAGAAGATGACCGTTGTTACCCAGTTCATCACCGATAACGGCCAGGCCTCGGGTACCCTCAAGGAGATCCGCCGTATCTACAAGCAGAACGGCCAAGTCATCCAGAACTCTAGAGTTCAGGTCGCCGGTGTGCCAGATTACGACTCGATCACCACCGAGTACTGCGATGCCGCCAAGGCCGCCTTCAACGACAACCCACACTTCCAGACCCTTGGTGGTATGCGCAAGATGGGACAGTCCCTCAACGCCGGCCACGTCCTCGCTCTCTCCATCTGGGACGATTACTACGCTTCCATGCAGTGGCTCGACTCGGCCTACCCATTGGATCGTGATCCATCCGAGCCAGGAATCAAGCGTGGTGAGTGCGAGCGTGGTGCCGGTGACCCAAAGAAGGTCGAGGCCAACTCCCCAGACGCCACCGTCACCTTCTCCAACATCAAGGTCGGAGACCTCAACACCACCTACTAAGCGTTGCAACTCGCACGGTTGCTCTTGGGGCCTATTCGCAGGTTTTGAGGCGTCTTCTGGCGGTGTCTTGATATGATTCGGTGTGGAGGATACGAAAATTGTATATTGTAGCTTTCCTTGTTTCTTTTCTTCTTGTGGAAATATCTTTGGGTGCTTGGAAATTGTTTCTTTGGTTGGATCTGGTTGTACGATTGATGGCTTGTATGTATGTATGTATGTATCTACGGACAATTGATGTAAATGCTCTGTACTTTCTTGATGTCTCGGATTTCCGTCAGTTCGTTACTTTCGTTGATGCTTTTGTGGGCCTTGAAAGCCTGACCTTTGAGCAGGGCATGTACGATACTTCCTTGCAAGCTTGTGTATGCATGTCAACAATGGTAGATCTCATGGAAGCTCGCAGACAAGCACTGGCATATGAAGTAGTGACCACAAGATCGCTGGCTATGGCATTGCTCATAAGGTGTTAGCTTTACAGACATCGTCTGGTGATGGTGCCCAAGCTGGCAACAGAGACTTCAAAGTACTTACAAACGGGCATGCGTTTGCTAGTTAGGTACCATTCACCTAAGGAGTTGAACAGCCACCACCATTCAACGTGATATCAACAGCCACCAACGTTACAGAGCCCCAAGTGCATACCGATTCACGCAGTCGATAATCCTTACAATACAAATTCAACTATGGGCCGCCTTGTCATTTTTCGCCTTTCTTCCCTATTCGTCATAGCCAACCTTTCAAACAGCATTTCGAGTACTCCTGTCAACGTCGCTTTTCCCAGCTCGGGTCTCCACGATGATAGCCTCCAGGAGTCTAGCTTGAGTTGTAAAGAAGCACTATGGCGTGCGGAGCTTGGAAGGTCTACTGTAGGGAAAATAAAGGTAGAGGCACCCTAAGGGCGGTGACCCAAAAATTTCGGAGGCGCACTTGAGGGGGGTGGTGACACATTTCTTAATTTTGGGAGGCAGTCTTACTTAAAAAGGAAAAAATACACTCTAAAATGTGATTTTTTGGCTGAAAAGTGGTGACAGTTTGCCAAATTTTGGAGGCGCTTCTCCAAAAAGGTGGTGACCAAAATGCATTTTCTTAGAGGCAGGGGGGGTGGTGACCGGTGACCGCCTCTACCTTTATTTTCCCTCCAGTATTTTCTCCTTTCTGTTGTGCTCGTTCGCGCTCTATTACTACTTTGTCGAGCTACCGAAAATCAAGGTCCTTCAAGATAGGGAGAGATGGGATTTGAAAGCGCAGCAGCAGCTTCCTCGAATGGAAAAAGAGATCCGATGCCTTAGGATTGCGCTTGGCCATGACACGTTGCTTGAGTATCTGTCAGAGAAATATGTCCAGGCATGCTTGGACGGGAGTGATTCTGAAGCTACAGTGTTCTGGTTTGGCATCCTCACGTACCATGCAGAATTGAAGGGATTTGAGACACAGATCAGAGATAAGGTACTAGCTATAGGACCTAGTACCACTGAGAGCTAGGTCCAATGGTCAGATGAGGATACAAACGTGAGCCGCTTGGGTATATTTAGCGACCGTGGAGACGGCAGAAACCATGCAAGGGGTATCAATTCAACTGAGATTGAGTTCTAGCTGCTGTTCTAGCCTGTCGGTAGTTTTCAGGAGGATACATATCTTGGTTAGAGAAATCTCGGACCTGTTACAGACCATTCCGTCCAAGTATATGACCTGTACCGCCGAAGCTTAAAGATTCCATCAAATGGATCAATATTTTTGCTGGCAAAAATCTGTTGCAAGCCAAAGAACGTTTGAGTGGTCATCTTGAAGCGTCAGCATGTCAAGTTCAAGATGGCCAACTCAGCAAACGAAATCTTCCCTTTATTTCAGGACTCAACCACTCCGCCGCCAGATCTCTCACGGAAAGCATCCAACAGCACCCAGCTATAAGCATTTCCAGACCATACTCATCACCAAAGCTCTTCAGCGACAGAAGCACCATCCAACATGTCATTCCTCTCGTTTGTCGTCGTCCTTTCCACTCTCCACCACCAAGCCAACGCATCTCCGCTGCTCACACCTCCCCTCCAACCGATACCTCCGTGGGCTCTCTACCTCCCTTCCAAAACCTCCATCCTATGCCTTGCTTTCGCCCTGCTCATCGGATGCATCTTCCTTCAACAACGCCATATTGAGAAGCTCGAGCGGACCATCAAAGAGAGCAGTGCCGGTGTGCAGGTTGAAAAGACGGTGGTTCCAGAGCCTGAAAAGAAGTCAGTGCATATCGAAAGTGAAAAGGGAGATGTGCGGTTGAGCATGGACAGGATGGATATGGACAGCATGATTGTCGCCTTTGCCGACCAGTATGATGATAGAAGAATTCGGAGAAAGCGATAGAGCTCGTTACTTGGGTTTCAGTGGAGCAGGTGGATGTTTGGGAAGATAGTTTTCGCTGCAGAAAGTAGAAATGATTTATTAGAGTTTACCTAATCTCATGAACTGATGTCGTGTAATATGATTGAACGTCATTGCATCCAATGTTACATTAAGTAGTAAAGTAGAGTGTGTGCCGTCATTGTGCCTGTGTCACCATCAAGATCATGGTCGGTCACCTGTGCTCCAATCGAAACTCAACACCAAACCAAAACATCACCACTCTCGAGACCCCACCATCGCATCGCACTCAACACCAGTAACATTCTACGGTCGGACCTTTGCAATTCACCTTTACCAAATCGATTTGAACCGAACGCAAGATGACCGGAGCCGACTTGCCAACAAATGAAAGCGCGCTCGCAAGTTGCGCATCGGAATCATCGACGGCTGAGACCGTTTCCTCCTGCAGCCGATTGTGACAACGATAGTAACCCACGACCAAGATGTCAGTTATTGCAGACTCGAGAAGCGTCTGGTGGAGGTGGACACGACTCATGATGCACATATCGAAGCCTTGTCACAAAGCCAACACTGCAACTCCGTACTCGTGCAAGATGGCCACTGGGCCCCCGACAACGCGCAGGATGGCCTCATGGTTGGCATATCAGAGCGGGTTAAGATGGACATCAACAGAGTATTTATCCTCGCTCTGTACCGACAGGAATAGAGAGACATACACACAACACCCTCTCAAGGTATGTCCTCCGCTCTATCTTCCAGGATGCGGATGTAGGTCGCCTGTGAAAAGCAGGCTACTGGCAAAACAAAGAGAATACTGATGGTTTATACAGACATAGAGGAGTACCTAAGTCGATAATCACCTTCAGCTACGGACGCCATAGCAAACCGATACAGTCAATACACTAGCTTGCTCGCCTGAAATCCTGTCGCTAGACATAGACATCTCTTGCTTCTTGCGGCCATGGATGCAGTGGTGTCGTTGAGTCCCTCGGCGATGATACAACCGACTACATCTGTTCTTCTGCTCTTGCTGGTACAATCACAACTGATTCAGTTGGCATATGCGGCACCGATGCCGGAGGGTATTTTGCATCGTCGTTTCGTAGGTTCGTTACACCGGCGGAATATTTTTGAAGATGCGGTGGATTTCGGGGAGGACTTGGTGGACAAGGGAAAAGACGCGGTAAACGATGCCGTGGACGTGGCTGACGACGTGATAGAAAAGGCAATTGAAAAAGTAAAAGGATGGGTTGATACTGCGAAAGATGCGATAACTGGAACGGTTGGTGGCTTCATCGAGTCGGCTAAGAAGAAAGTGGAAGGTTTATGGAACGAAGCTAAATCGAAGTTCGACGAGATCAAACAAAAGGTCATGAAAATCAAAGATATGGCGGCGGATGGTATCAAAGGGCTGTTGAAGAAGATGCTTTCGAAGTTCATCATTATGCCTGCCGTCTTCCTACTCCTCATTATTCTGGGAATCTGCATCCTTGTGAAATGTGCAAAGGCAGTCGCTAAGAAGGTCTTAAGGAAGCTGTTTGATCTTATATGCTGTGGACCTTGGGATTGGTGCAAGCGAACGAAAAAGCATGCTTACCAAAGAATCGACGAAGAGCTGGCTCCACCACACATTATGGTCCCTTATCTCGACGATGGCAGATGGGGTCGTCCAGGATGGGTGGATATACCGCTTAAGGTTTTTGTTCCGCCAGAGCAGGTCGAGCAGCGAGTCGCGTCGCCTGACGTCACAAAAGGTGGAACACATGAGGGATACATACCTGACTTCAGGCCCTCAGCGGGAGATCCTACCGGCTTCTTCGCACGGTACCCGCATCACCCGGATGAGAACGGCGAGATAAACCTCGATAGGCCAGATCCGATGGGATCGGAACATTGGAGTCAGGAGGAACGGGATGAATATTATACTCATCAACGGAAACATCTTGATTTTCTCGAGGAAGCTCGCCAAGTACAGCGCTTCTGGGGCGACAAATCACAAGCTCCACCGATTCCAGCTAATAACACGGGCCACGGCAGTGCCTACGACTATTACGGAAATCAAACGCATACAGGTGATCTGAGCGACCCTGCCACTGGGTTTGAGCCTGCCACTGGATATGACTCTGGCCCTCCCTATTACGGTTCGCCTGACCCAGCGGCTCCCCCTCCATACTCCAAGAAGGATACCGCTCGGGCCGAAAAGTCCGATCATGAGTCTAATCATCAGTCTACTCATGAGTCTAAGCATCAGGCTGACTATGAGTCTAAGCATGAGCCTGACTATGAGCACGAGGAAGCATTTGGGAGCAATTACGGGCAAAATGGCCAGGAGAAACGGGACAGGTATTGTTGATCTTGATCACTGCTTTGAGAAGCGTAAGCAACACGGTGGTCAAGTTGAACTGGGGTGTATAGAAACAGCAATGAGGAGGTTGATGGATAGATGGAAATTGCTGGAGCAAAGGTCGTGATGGGCTTTATTTTGGAGAGGGATTGTTGTACAGATGTACCAGTTTTTTTGGATTTCTTAGTATCGAGCTGTCGCATAGAGGTGAATTGAGATAGAACCCAGGATTTATCGTTTCTCAGGGCCAACGGAAGTGAACAATCCACAAGTGCTAACGTGCCGAGTATTTATCGCGCGATCGGAAAGCAGGAATATGTGTCCTGAGAAAACGGAAGCACACTGGCGCAATGGTATAAATATGACATGAACCCATAACGCTCTCTACTTACCTAGGCACTTTGACACTCAGGCGGGTCCAAGTGAGCCACGGTCGACCACACACTGCATAGCCACATTTACTGACAGGGAGTAATTAATTAATACATACAAAGTAAGTACGTAGCTATAGGTCAAGGACTTTAACACTTGCTTGAACTGATATGGCAGGGGCAATCCGAAAGTGACTCGAAATCCATACTTCCAAGAAAGTATTCACCAAATCCATTTCAAAGAGTCGATCCCCCCAAAATTGATCACGACTACTTAAGCGTTAAGTAAGTACTTAAGTGCTTAAGAACCCAGGAATCTACTCACAGACTTGCAAAGTGCAACCGACTCACTTTCGCCCTCCAGTCGCTTCTGAACCTCCCGAGACACTCCTCCCTTACCCCAAAATCCCTCAGCACGAGCCTCCAGCTAGCTCACGTACACATCCCGTTCTAGTTTTCGTCCATTTGATTCACCAGGCCCCCCAAATCGTGGCACAACGCCTCCGCCTCCTCAGCAACCCATGATCAAATCTCCCCAGAATTGTCGTCTCCACAGGTATACCATCAAAACTTGCCATACAACTGTACTCCCTCCTGACGAACCTGAGTAAGGCGTAAGGCAACCGTCACCTCGCCCTCCAATGTATACTATGTTTTGACCTCATGACATAACGATTCTGCAGTACTGGCCCTAGGTAGCAGTGGACCAGGTTATATAACATTCTCGATTCCCCAGCCTGCAGAAACCTTCCAACTTCGAATTCCGCATACTTCTCGTTCTTCTCCTCATCCATATCAAATAATCCCGTGCTTATCAATCCAGTTATACCCCCACATGCACCCCACCATCCTCCCTTCCGGATCCGTCACGATCACTCCATCGATGCTTCCAAATCCAGCCATATCCATACTACAGCAACGATCTTTTCGGGAACAAATCGGGGTATACTTACCCCACCTCGTTAATTAGCAGCCCAAGCTTTTCCTTCACGACTGCAGACGGGTATGCACCATCGGTACCAAACTTCCAAAGTCGCTATCGATAGCACCAAATGCATGGCCTCGAAGCTCAACTATCCTTCCTCCCGTCACCCCAAAGAACAGGATTCTTCTGCAATTCTGGAGCCTAGTTGGGACGTAGCACTGCACACAACATAGCCCCAAGCTTTACCTTCATGACTGCATACGGCCGGATATGCACCATCGGTACCAGACTCTCACTCTTGGATTCAAAGATAGGCAGTCGACAGGCAGGTTGATATGGGGAAGTGCATAGCTACCATCGCGCCTCTCAGACCCAATACGGCCAATCGAGTCAAAATACGCACCCCAAGCTTTTCTTTGCACCACTTTCGATTCTTAGACTCGGAGAAACCAAGCTGAAAGTAGGCAGTGCACAGCTGACAGGTTGATATGGGGAAGTGCATACGGTTTATAATTTACACCACAAGACGATCCTAAAGGAACCTAATCGGGATATGCTCAGCAAGCTTTTCCTTCGCAGCTGCATACGCCCGGATATCCACCATCGGTACCAAACTCCCACGAACCTTGGATTCAAAGATAGGTACTTACTTAGTACTATAGGAAGGCAGGTTGATATGGGGAGATGCATACAGACCACACGCACCAATCCCTTCGGAACCTACGTAACCCACCCTAAGCTTTTCGCTGGCAACTGCAGACGGCTAGGCAACATCGCTACCAAACTTTCACGAGAAGGCAAGCAAGGCAGGTGGTGGTATGGGGAGATGCATGTATACAGGCCAACCTACCTATCCTAGTACGGGTAGACAACGTTCCTAGACCTGTGCAGACGAAAAGGATAGTTGCATATGCGCATGCCAAACAGGATGGCACTTGTACATGTTATAGGGATGCATGTATTCCAGAAAGAGATCCGACCATAGCACACTACTGGCAAGTTTGGGCTGGAACAAGTGGCTCTACCAGTACAAAGATGCCTTGCCAGCATCTCCCATCAGCTGCCGGCGCCTCTCAGACTGTACTGCAAGAACAGCAGGGAAGCAAGCACATTGTTCCAAGGTGTCCGAGACATACTTGTTGCCACCTATTCGTCGCCGTAAGCCTGCACCATGGACCATTCGGAACTCATCGCGATGCTGGCCACATCTACGTTGAACTTGCAAAACAATGTAGACACGCCCACACAGAAAAAATAACCTAACGCGGGGGTCGAACCCGCAACCTTCAGATCTCCACTACTGGAACCAATTTTAGAGTCCATGGTAGAAGTCTGACGCGCTACCATTGCGCCAGCCAGGCCGTTTATATCACGATTAGGGTTATTTTCTTT